GGTTTAAACTCATGCATGTCATGTTTGAGTTATGTTCTTGAAAATTGGTTTGAAATTGGATTTAATTGAACTACCTTTGGGCTTTGATTTCTCAAATTGATCTTTGAAACATGTTATATTATGAGTTTTGAAAAGTTTTTCAGAAAATTGGCCCATGAGGATCGAATTTGGTGTTTTAAAACTTGTTTTTGAGCTTGAGGTTCAAATCTGGAAATTCCAGATTTTGGACTCATGCTCGAGCGGAGTGACTGGCGCTCGAGCGTGAAATTCATGCATCCAGCACTTTACACTGTTTTACAGTCCGCTCGAGCGGGGTATTGGACGCTCGAGCGAGGACTTGTGTCACACGCTCGAGCGGGTATCGAGCGCCCAATTGAGCATGATTTTCACACATCCAGTACTTTTACTGTAGCTTGCAGTCCGCTCGAGCGGATTTATTCACGCTCGAGCGGAGACCCTTGTCTGCATGTCCACTCGAGCGGATATAGACACGCTCGAGCGTAACCCCTGTTTTTTGAAAATTCTAAAAAATGTTTTAAAGTGCATCCTTGCATCCTCATTCCATCCTAGGCATTCCTAGGCCTAGTTTAAGGCATCTTAATGAGGATATTGATGTAGAACCACACTGAGGCAAATTAGGGATTAAGTTATTATTTTCCCAACTGTGTAGCTTAGTGTGTGTTCATTCTGCAACTGTGTAGGGTTGGCATCCGGAGACGCGTACTAGCTTATCTGTAGCCCAAAACTCTGTGAGTAACAATGTTGTAAAGATATGTTCGAAAATGAATATTTTCTAAATGATCAACTGAACTGTTTTCTGAACTGTTTACTGTTAACTGAATGAATGTTTGTCCTCTATTCTGAGCTGTATTGTGGCATCCTTAGCAACTACTATTACTGTTACTGCTACTGTTACAGAGATCTCTGTCAGTTCCTATCTTGGAACTTCTGTTTACTGTTACGATGGCCATCATTGACTGTTCGGTCGTTCAAGACCTACTGTTTACTGTACTGTTCTGCTATTGGATGTACCACATATGACTGTTATGACTAAATGACTGATATACTGAATCAATCGACTGTTTTCTATACTGAAAGGACATTCATTCTTAACCTCTTTACGCATTATGTTATTCATTGGGCTTTAGCTCACTGCTCATATATATATATGTAGGTGTTCAGGCACCAGACTGGAGCTAGGAGCGTGGGTTAGACTCCCTTTTGTCAAAGCCAACCACTGTGCCTCACTGCGAGGTTCCGAGCCTGTCAAGCTACTGCTTTTGGGGTGTTTTAATTTTTCCCAATCTGTCTCTATACCGGTTTTGTAATACTGTATAAACTGGTACTGCACTGTTTTAAATAGGGATTAAGTCCCTGTCCTGAATGATTGTATATATTGTACATACTATTTTGGTACTGATTATATATGCGTATATGATATGAAAAGTCTTTTTGCATACAGACTGTCATAGCTCATTGGACATCTTTTAATTACTGTTTTGGCTTCCGCCAGCCCCTGTACTCTGTATTACTGTATTACTGTTAAGCAGACCTTTGGTAATCTCGGATTACTGGCCGGTTACGGTCCTAAACCCATAGAGGCGAGTTTGGGTCGTGACAAGACTGGACAAAGAACTGGCAACTAGGTCAAAGTAGACTATAAGATTACCTGTTATTATTTATGTTTTTGTAATGAAATAATACTGTGGGATGTATTGTGTTGGGATGTATTATGTTTGTATTTAAGCTAAGGAATGATAGACACACATTTAGAGTTATAGTTTTTGAGAATGGTTTTCAAATGCAACATATTTCTGTAAATGGATTGGTATTGAATAGCATTGTCAGCATACTTCTATAAATGGATTGGTATTGAATAGCATTGTCAATCTTAGTTCTTTTTGACATTTTTGTTCCATTGTCAATCTCAGTTTTTGTATTTAGAGTTATGGTTTTTGTTCCATTACTTCGGTAAATGGATTGGTATTTAGGCCTGTTGTATTGCAAATCAACTCAGTAGGGTTACTATTGCTTCAAGTATACAGTCAGTTTGTTTGTGTTGGAAATGTTGGTTGTATATTTTGCATTGGAATGTAGTAAAAAAAAATTAAGAATTTGTTGATTTTTTTTTTCCAATTAAACTTAGCAGGGTTTGTGTTGGAATAATTTTCAATGCATTTTCATGTTGCAGTAAAAAAGAACATACAAAAATCACAAATTTCATAAACATAATTTCATTACTTTCAAACATATATCAAGTACATAAAACACCTTACAAATTCTTACAAATTCATTTCATATTGAACATTAACATGGTGGAAATGAAACACACAAGCAAAACCACCATAGATGTCATCATCATCATGGTCAGTGCCTCTATCTTCATCAGTCTTCCATTAAACTGCACACCTTCCTCAACTCTTGGCTTCTCATCATCAATCTCATCTCTTCCATAGATGGGAGCATATCCAACTGGGTTGCACCAAGCCTAGAAATCACAACCCCTCAAACTCGCATTTTCACAAACATAATACAACCTACCTTTTGAAGGCTTCTCGAACTCCACGATTCTAATGGCTGCTTTTCTCCCACAATGACATTTCTTGCTCATAAACCTCAACATTTGTCCTTTTCCACCTCCAATGCTTGAATATGACATTTTTGCTAGGTAGACTAGCCTGCAACTCAACATACAAAGCAATGAGGCAATATAAAAAGCAATCTTCTTGGGTAAGCTTTTATGTTTAACCCTAGGGTTATTTTCGTCTTTTCATTGTGAGGGAACATCATCAGTTCATGCCCACTTGCACCACACGCGCGTGCATTGCACAGCCGGTTAGAATACATAGAAAAGCTAATGGTGCACATTACTCCATCAACAATAGGGGAATTATGTGGTGATATTGGAAAGTCAGGGGGGTAATCCGCACATGACCTAAACCATAGGGGGTAAAGTGAAGTTTGCCCCCCTTTTTTTTATTACAATTTTGTCCTAACACCAATTTCTATTTTTACCCATCTCTAACCTTCTAACCCTAACCCTAACCCTAACCCTAACCATCCACCTCCACCTCCACTTTGGCCAGCAACCTCCTCTTCTCTCTCTCCCTCTCTCTCTCTCACTCTCTCTTCGTTTTCTTTTTCTTTTTCTTCTTCTTCTTCAGCAGATCCGATCACCTTCCCACCACTGCAATCTCCTTCTATTTCTCTCTCTCTCTCTCTCTCTCTCTCTTCTTCTTCTTCTTCTTCTTCTTCTTCTTCTTCTTCTTCTAGGTTCGTGGTCGTCCCACCATGGTGAACTCCTTACCGCCAAGCCGTCAAGTCCGACCATTTTCTTTTTCTGGGTTCGTGGTTGTCTCATCGTCGCGAACTCATCACCTTCTCTCAAAACCCTAACCCTAGCCCCAGGGTTTTCAGAAATGGTAGCGACGATTTGGGTCACGATGTGAAGAAGAAGAAGAAGAAGAAGAAGAAGAAGAGAAGATGAGGCAGTGGGGTGAAGAAGAAGGAAAAGGAAAGAAAAAAGAGGAAGGCAATAACAATGGTAGGACTGCCGGTAGTGAGGGCTTTGGTGAGTGAGCAGCCCGAGGTGGTGCTTGGGAGTGGGTGCTAGGGTTTGGGTTTGGGATTAACGATATAGTTGGTACTAAGGTAGGGGTTCAAAGAAAAATTGGAGGGGCTTCATTTTGCTAAGTGGGGGTTCAGAGAAGTGGGAGGGGGAGGGGAGAGTAAAAAGTTGGGGACAAATAGCAACCATCTAGAACAATTTAAGTCGTTTATTTACGTAGAACTCACATGAGACCCACATAAATAAATGACTTGAATTGATTTATGACAATACCACATAAGGTATGGAATAATTTTTCGACTCAAGGAGTATCTTGCTACTTATATTATCCTATTGCGTTTGCATTTGTTAATTACTTGCATATAAGTTTTTTCTTTGTCAACAAACACATAACTTGTCTCGGAATTTTATTACTGTCATTTTCATTCTAGAAAAAGAAATTTTCTTAGACATAAAAATGTAATGATACGTTTTAAACTTAAAATCCTCATATTTTAATTAATTTTTATTTTTTATTTTTAGATGCATCTAACTTATATATATCTAAAAAGTAAAAATATTTGTACATAAATCTTTCTTTTCTTTTTTCTTTTTAATTTTTGTAAAAAATTAAAAATAAGAATAAGGAAAAAAAATGATTTTTTAATTTTTTGTTTTGTTTTTAGTTATTTTTTTAGATTTATTCATAAATATTTAATTTTTTAGGTACATCTAAAAAGTAAAAAAAAAATTAAAATTAAAATATGAAAAAAATCATTAAAGACAAAAAAAAAATCAAAATAATTTAAAAAAAAACAAAAAACAAAAACTCAATAATTTAAAAAAAAAAAAACTAAACCAAACAAAAATGAACTTTTTTATTTTTTATTTTTGAGGGGGTTTTGACAGGACTTAATACTCAACAAGTCTTGCTCCAAATTAATAGGCCCATGTTTTCAATTTTACCCTCACAACTCAATCCGTAAATCTATAATTCTCAACTCACAATGATTTTCACAATAAACTCATCATTTTTCCAATGATTCTCAAATGCAAAAAAATATTATTTTCAAGATTAATATATCCATACCGGGTAATAACTCCAACCAATAGGGCTGATTGATAATTTTGTCCCTTTTTTTTGCTCTATTTGGCAAGCCTCATCAAAAAGTCTTAAGGCCCACACCTGGTTTGGCTCTAGAACAAATGGGCTGGACTTAGGTCAAAGATAGAGAACAAGACCTGTAGCCCATCCGATTAGCGTGGCCCAAAGGGCCACACAAAGTGATTGGATCACCCACATTTTTCTGTAACATTTTTTTTTTATGATGACTATGACATGATGTTAGAGGCACAATCCAACCTCTACTTGAAAGTATCGTCTGCTATTACCTACCAGCTCAATAATTAGCTTCACGGGTTTGTTTTTCAAGCTCCAACCCAAAAGGTTTCATTCATAATGAAAGTGTTCTGCATCGTCTTATAAGTCCATCCTGAATATCGTCTGCAACTGATGTAGGATGCTAACACTTAATTGTTTAGACAAACCAAAAATACAACCAAATTCCAAATCAACAAACTTGAAACTCTTAGGAGACTTCGATGTAGACAAAAGTCCCAAAGCATTAATATCAGTTACAATGTGTATGAAAACTTCTATTAACTAGGAAATATAACGTTTCTCACTCACCTTTACAATTTTCAAATCCAGATTGAGATTGTTGAGTTTCTATTGATTCTAAACATGACGATCCAAGTAAGAGATTGCGACTGCAGCGTGGAGAGCTGCTCCAATGGGAAGAACCTCCTCATCGGCAACAAAATGCGGCGAGTGCAACCCTTTATTTGACTTAATTGTTTCATTCATTGTCCCTATCATGAAATATGTAGCTGCCATTTTTTGTGCATAGAAGCTGAAGTCCTCTGATGCCATGCTCACTGGAATAAGGTGCACATTCGGTTTCCCAAGCAAGGTTTCTCCAATCCTTTTTGCATGTTCGTACATTGCTTCGTCGTTAATGGTTGGTGGATACGGCCTGAGTTTCTTCTCCATGAAGTCCACCACAGCAGTGCACTGATGCACAGCTGCTTGAGTCTCTATGACCTGTAAGTACAGCAGATGTAAACTAGTCATCTAAATGAGAAATGCTATGAAGTTTTGTTAGAAATCTTCAAAAATTATTGATTAGGACTTTTTTAAAGCCCACAAGCCTGCTTGCTACAGCTTATTTAGTCATAAGCTGGTAACTATAATTCAGGATAAAAAAAATATATATATATTTTCAATTTATTTAAGGTATTTTTACCATATAAGTGGTAAGACCCCCCCCCCCCCTTTAAAAACAAACAAAAAAAAAACAACAAAAAAAAAAAGGGTCCATTAACGCTGCAATAAAAGAACCCATGTCAAATTTATGATACATGGAATTTAACATAATAACAACCTCCCTCTTATCCTTTGTAGGACTAGTTGTTTGGTAATGCAGATCTTAATAAGTACCAAACATTAACCACTCAATTTTTGGAGTAAAGAGTATTTTCATTTACTCCTACTTGTGACATGTAACCTTAATTCTATGGGGGTGTTTGGGAAGAAAAAAAATAGCCAAATTTAGGCTAAAAATCACAAAAAGACAAAATAGGCTAAAATAGCTAATAAGACAAAATATCACATCAAACCCATAATCATTTCACTTTTTCTCTCACAAACATCACATCCAACCACAAAAAAATCCAATCATCTTCCCAAACACAAAAATTTTAGCCTACTTAAAATAGCCAAAAACTAAAATAGCCTACTAAAATAGCCACTTCCCAAACGAGGCCTATATATATGGAGTTGGGGGTGGCTATCTATATATCTCGTTTATAACTCTTTCGAATCATAGTTAAGTCTACAATAACTGTGAATGTAACCCTAGTTTTGGGATGAATTTATAATTCTACTTTTTATGTTCTTCTCTGCTTTTTGACTCACCGATCTTGGTTAGGTGTTCTGCAATTCCTAACTCCACTAATGTTATGTTTGGTTGGGAGATTTGAGGAGGGATTTGAAAAGGGAAATAGAAAATGTAGGTGAAATGTGAATAAAAATATCTATATTTCACCTAATTTCACACACTTTTTTCTTTTTTCTTTTCAAATCCCTCCCCAAATTCCCTAACCAAACATAGCATAAAAGAAATTCCTTACATTTATATATGATTTAAGAGAGAGCTTTGGTGAAGTTGTTTCCAAATAAATCAAACATTACCTCTTTGATCCTTTGCTGAAGGTAGGAAATTCCTTCAGAAGTCAAGCTTCTGTAAGTTCCCCCAAATTTCACAGTCTCTGGGATTACATTTCCTGCTGCACCACCTTCAATAAACCCAACTGAGACTACCTATAGATTTGCAAATAAGCAAACAATATTGTCATTAGACTTTTAAAAGAAAAAAATCAATTAAGTGAAAGAATGCTCTTAATTAAGGAAACTTACTCTGGCCTCGAGAGGATCTGTCTCTCGTGAAACAATCTGTTGGAGAGCAAGAATTGACAAAGAGGCTGCAAGAATTGAGTCTCTAGTCATATGTGGGGCTGCCGCGTGTCCACCTTTCCCTTGAATTATCACTAAAAACCTGCCCGAGCCAGACATTATGGGACCAGGCTTGGAACCAATGGTACCAGTGGGCAAGTTTGGCCAAACATGTAATCCAAAAATGGCTTGAACTCCATCCAGAGCACCTTCGTTCAACATATGGTAGGCACCAGCATGACCCTCTTCTCCGGGTTGGAAGACAAGCTTGACAGTGCCCTAAAAATTAAATTTTGCAAACTGGGTTTTTTAATGAAAACGTGCATAAATAACATAATGTATTGTTATCGGCTAATTTTTGGTGATTATGTGATTGTAAATTTATTTACCTTTAATGTGTCCCGTCTATGATGAAGTAATTTGGCAGCCCCGAGCAGCATTGTTACATCTCAATGCCCCAGTTTCGGCCACAAGCATGCATTTTACCATCGACCTTGCTCTTGTACTCTGACTCTACCAATTCCTTTCAGATGAAATTGTCGGTTTTAGAAGTTAAAGACTTCTTGTCAAACAATGTACACTTTTCTAGCACAGAGATTTCACAAACAACACTTGAACTAAAAAAGAAAGAGCAAAAAATAGAAAAGCTAGAAGAATTTGAAATTGAGACCATGATGTATTAATGCAAATTTGCATTATAAACTGGAAAAAGAACCCTAAGAAACATGGAATGAAAAAATTAGAAGAAAAATCGTAAGATACATATCATAAATTGTAAGACATTGACAACACTAGCTACCTATTTTTTCTAAACAAAATTATTCTATGTTAACTATCTATTGGTTCTAAAGCATGCTATGAACCAAGGGTGGAGTCAATATATATATCAAGTGTGGGCAAATTGAAAAAAAAATAATTTAAAACTATAGATAGAATAATAAATTTCAATTTAAATTATAATCTTTTGATTTGTTTTTTAATTTAAACTATTTGTCCACAAAAAATATATTTTAGACATTTTAACTCAATAAAAAATGGTATTTTAGTTATTTAACTCAACAAAAAATATATTTTAGATATTTTATGTATATCTACATTGAGTTTAATGATTAAAATACTATTTTTTCGTTAATTTTACTTGATAGAAATGGGCAAATGATTTAGATTGAAATAAATAGACAAAATTATAAATTTATTTTATCAAAGGTCAAACCTTAGAACTTATTTTTATAATTTTCTCTAAATTTATTGTTGATAGATAATACCACTTATCAATGATGATTTGGTATCACCGTCACCCTCATTTTTACTTCTAACTTACTACATATGTATGGATGGCAAAATTACCTGACCTGATTATATTTGATCTAACCCAATTTTTATGAAAAAAAGTTAAGGAAAGTATTGACAAGGTAAGGTAAAAGGAATCGCTATAATGAACACATATCTAAATCTCCTGCTTTTTGATATACCTAAATCTCTGGCTTTTTGACATACCGATTTTAGGCTTTTTATTTTTGTTTCATCTTTATTGTGTTTATAGGTCAAAACTGTTAAGGTTAGGATAAAGTACCAATCATATCATTAAAATAGTTGAGTTTAAGGATAAGAATTCGAGCGTGAAATCTGAAAAAATTTAATATGTTGTCATCCCTATAAATATAGTTTATTCTATTCTAAACAAATCTATATTCTATTTGAAGAAAAAGTAATAATATTAGAGATATCAAATATTTTATCAAAAAAAATCTATCAAACATTCACACGAGTGTGAATCTCACATGAGCGTGAGTCTCACACACCTTAGAAAAAGTTACAGTACAATGGTTCAGTAATGGGCAATGATTGAGGAACATAAATTCTATGGTTAAAATGGTCCGAAAATGTCAAAACGACGTCGTTTTGAATACAAAACAACTCTAAAAATGTCAAAACGATATTGTTTTGACATTTTCGAACAATTTGAGCTATAGAATTTGTGGCGACCAAATATTTTCCTGCAGTAATAGACAAAGGGTTGCTTTTTTCACAACAGTAACAGACTAGAATTGACCATGAGAGACAGAGAGACCTGAATAGGGAGGGCATCCATGTCTGCTCTGAGAGAGAAACAGGGCTGCTTCCCAGACCCAATTGAAGCCACCAACCCAGTCTCTGCAAAGGGCCACGTGTACCCGATTCCAAGAGAGTCAAGCTCCGATCTTATGAGTCGACTCGTCTTGTGTTCCTCAAAGGCCAGTTCTGGGTACTGATGAATTCTCCTCCGAACCCATCTCATCCAGTCAAAGAACTCGGGCTCCCTCGCCGATTCCAAAAGCTCCCGAGTCAGCAACTCAGTCTCCGATCCTAACCCAGTCTCCGAAGCGCGAGTTTGATGATACGAAAGCGTTGATAACATCAATAAGGAAAGCCAAAAACATATATAGGCACAGAGCCAATCCATTCTTAGAAACAAGAATGAAATGCTTCAATCGGTGGTTGCCTATTTGGGGAAAAACTTTTTGTGAATAAATAGATTGGATTTTTGTGTTGCAACTTGCAACAAGATGAGTAATGTTAAGATATAAAATTTTTGTGCCAAACATCATACAATTGAAAATTGTTTATAAATATAATCTGAGTCTTGTAATTCATTTTTTTTTTTTTTTGATATGATATGATATTAAAGAGCGATGAATGAAGAGAGAATACAAAACTCTTGTATTCAATTCAATAATCAATGAATAGTACAAACTCTTTTATATAGGAGAGAAGATAAGTATATATAGAGAATATATTGTATTATACAGATAAGACATATCTATACAAAGAATATGCTATAGAATATACTGTACTACACAGATAAGGCATATCTATGTAGAGAATATGCTATAGAATATATTATAGTTAACACCCCTTAAGTTCAAGGTGACAATGTAGATATCAAGTTGAGCTTGGAAAGTCAATTAGAAAATCGTCCTGAAGAATGAGCCTTGGTGAAGATGTTAGCTGTCTGATCAGCAGAGGGAACAAAGATAAGATGAACAGTGCCACTAGTAACATGTTGTCGTATGAAGTGACAATAAATCTCAATGTACTTAGTGCGATCATGGAAGACATCATTATGGGCATCTGAATAGCATTATGATTGTCACAATAGAGGTTAATGGCAGCAAGATGAGGAATTCTCATATTAGAAAGAAGCCAACGAAGCCACACAAGTTCTTGAGTAGTGTCAGCGAGAGCATGATATTCAGCCTCAGTACCTGAACGAGCAGTAAGAGTTTGTTTCTTGCTATGTCAATGCCACAACCCAAACCAACCCCTATAAGTTTGGTATCGTAACCGGCCAGTAATCTAAGATTACCAAAGGCCTTCTTGTACAATCATAAATAATCGAGGCCAGCGGAAGCAATAGTCAAAAACACCAATGGTCCAATGAGCTGTGCACCTATATAAACAAATATTTACATACAAAAACGTTAATTTACCCACATTCAATACATAACTTATAACTCAATATCTTATACATAATATATGCACATAACAAAAGTGTACTTCACAATCAAAAGCTTGACAACGGTCTTCTAGGCCTAGCCTCAACTTTGAGGCACTCAAAACCACGCGGTAGGCTTCAAAATGGTGGCTCGACTAAAGACTCCTTCTAGACTTGTCTTCCAGAATGCTCACCTATGCATATATATAAACAGTGAGTTAAAGCCCAGCGAATAACATTAAAATAAAGGGATTAGTGAACAAATTTCAAATATATCATATCCGTAAAACAAATCATGACACAATTATTCATATTAGTCTCATATCAGAACATAACATAATGGTATATTGCACAGAACATATCACATATCGTCTTCCGACTAGAGTAATCGGTTCCGAATACCGATCAAACACATATCACTACAATGAAGTGGCTAACGAGATTTCGTATTACATATATGTCATGGACTTGCATTTACATGTCGTTCTCCATGACTTGAGACTATCTGTGGATGCCATAATAAATTCGCAATTAGGACATTCGTTCACATAATCAAAATAACATTTCAGAAATTAAAACTTGTCGCATAATAGTGGAAACATAGTTCATATCAATATATCTTTACAAAAATGTTACTCATAGTGGGCTTCCAGAACTGTTGGTCAAGCAGTCATTGACTCGTGATCTACAATCACAAATATGCATAGCACAATACACAATCATCTTAAACATATTTAGTTCACTTAGCTTTTAAATATAGATGACTAGAATTATGAATTACTTAGATTTTTAATTTCCTTCAATCTCTAATTAAAACATGTTTAGCTGTGTATTAACCAAACTAATTAAATATAAATAATCTAATCATAAACTAATCCTTATTAAGTTCACTAATTACACAATCAAGCCTAAATTAGGCTCATACACATTAAATTATAATTATTCAGTCATGTTTAAATTACTGAATCATAAACTCATAAATATGCACATTTTGCAATTTCAACTCCTTTTTCAAGCAAATCAAGGCCCAAATAATTAATCTTCACATTTACTTCCATAATTTTAAGCCTAACTCAATTTTAATTGAATTTAATTAATTCTCAATTAAAGCTTAATTTGATTACATCTAATTTTATGAACCTAAATCAAATTTTTAATTGAATTCTTATAAAGCTCTAAATATCAAATTAAACCAATTCTTCCATTTTTGAAACTCAATTTCATGAAACATCTATTTTCTTGAAACCAAGCTCTAATTCATGCTTAATCTCTTCTTAAACTCCATGAATCATGCTTGAAAATTAGTTTAGAATCATTGTTCTCTTGAAAATATGTCATGCATGTAAGGATTATGAGCTAATTCATTCAATTCTTCCATATATATATATACATGCATGTCTTAATCCTTAGCAATATGAGCAAAACCTTCATTTGATCATCAATTCTTCTTAATTTCAGCCTTAATCTTTAAAGCTGTTGCATGTGTAAATCTCAATTTCAAGAAATTAGAGAGAGAATGCTTACCTTACATGTTGGATTATGAGAACTCAAGGCACTATTCTTCTTTTTCTCCTCTTGGTGTTCTTTTCTTTCCTCTCTTCTACTCTCTGAACTCTCAAGCACAATCTCTCCCTTTCTCTCTCTACGTGTATAACTTGTACGACACCCAACAAGACCCAGTAACCTCTCTTTTTCTTTTCTATTCAATTTATGGCCACGCACTAATCCTTTTGATTCTACCTATTTTGGGTTTAATTAAAAAAAAAGTTAGGAATTATATTATTTAATTGGAATTGAATTCACTCAAATTAATTCAATCCTCATCCTTATAATCTTAATTACACTAAATTAAATTATACTAATGTGTATTAAGCTCTAATTCCTATTTAATTATTTAATTCCAACCTATTAAAATTAGCGAATCAAATAGAATCAATTTTTAATTAAACTTCCCGAATAATTCTAAAAATTTCAATTAGCATATCCTTGTACTCAATTTTGATTTCTGAACCCATTTATGTTATCAATTTCAGTTTCAAAGCCGACCTCACAACGGATAGTTTCTCAATTTAAACAAATATTTACAATGAATCAAATTAGATAATTCACAATTAATCACTTGGCACATGTCATAATTAAAATTCAATGCATAACTAATCATTTATAATTACGATTAACATTTTGGGGTCTTCACAGTCAGGCAATGAGAGGGTCACCTAAGAAGATACAGAATCCTGTAGTAGAGCGACGATCAGTAGGGTCTCCTGTCCAATTAGCATCAGAAAATGCATGTAACTATAAGGAAGAGTGAGTGGAGTAGCGAAGACCATGAAACATAGTGCCTTTGAGATAGCGTAAAATGCGAACGACATCATCATAGTATGGAGAGCGAGAAGAAACCATGAACTGACTGACAATGTGAACAACATAAGCAATGTCTGGATGAGTAATAGTGAGATGGACAAGACTGCCAACTAGCTGACGATATAAAGTAGCATCAGGCGACAGGTGATTGTTAAGAGATATAAAACGAGTCTGAGGATTAATAGGAGTAGAAGCAGTCTTGTAATCGGTAAGACTAGCATGAGCCAAGAGATCAGAAGTATACTTGGCCTGGAAAAGAAAGTAACCAGACGGATCATGAGAGATTTCCCAACTGAGAAAACAGTTGAGAAGACTCAAATCCTTCATCTCAAACTGGCGACTAAGAAACTGTTTGAGACTAGAGATATCTACTGTGTCATTCCTAGTGATATTCAAATCATCCACATAGAGAAGAAGAAGAATAGTACAACGCTCTGTCTTGCAAATAAAAAGGGCAGAATCATAGGCATTGCAAGAGAATCCAAAATCATGAATGGTGGAGCTAAACTTGGCGAATCAGGCATGAGGAGCTTGTTTCAAACCATACAAAGCACGGTAAAGTTTGCAGACTTTGGAGGGCAGAATAGAGGAACCAGGAGGAGGTTGCATATAAACTTCCTTAGTGAGATCTCCATTAAGAAATGCATTCTTTACATCCATTTGACAAAGTTTTCCAGTGGCGAGCAGCAGCAATGGCTAGTAAGCTACGAACTGAAGTCAGACGGACAACAAGAGCAAAGGTTTCTTTATAGTCAATCTCATATTCTTGAGTAAACCCCCGGGTAACAAGACGAGCTTTGTAATGCTCAATAAAACCATCAGAATGAGTCTTGAGCTTGTAAACCCATTTACAACTAACAACACTTTTACTAGGAGGAAGATCAATCACATCCCAAGTATGAGTTTTAGCAAAAGCCTGTAGTTCATCAGTCATAGCTTGCTGCCAAAGAGGATTAGAACATGCCTTTTGATAGGAAGTAGGTTCATACGAAGAAAATGCAGTAGAACCAACAATGAAATCATGAAGAAGGACAGAAGGTTGTGTTACTTGAGTAGAATGACGAAGAGGTACCTCAGAAGTAGGACTAGAAGGCAGAGCAGGATCCTTAGGATGGGCCGGAGGCAGCATGGCAAGAGTAGGAGCAGGACTAAGAGTAGGATTAGGGAGTGGAGCATCAGCAGGACCAGGAGGCCGAGCAGGATCCTCAGGATGAGCCGAAGGCAGCATGGTAGAAGTAGTATCTGTATCAAGCTCATTAAACAAAAGAGAGAGATTTGTGAAGAATGGTGTAGTAGGAGGAGTGAACAAATGAAACTTAGATATAGAAGAGAACATCTTATCTTCCCAAAATACCACATGACGGGAGATACGAAGACGTTGAGAAATAGGATTGCAACAACAATAACCTTTATGTTCAATCTTATACCCCAAGAAACAACCCAGACGGACTCAAGGTTCTAATTTGGAATGCTTATGTGGTTGAAGGAGGACAAAACAAGCACATCCAAACACACAAAGACAAGAATAGACAAGAGGTTGGCCATATAAGCGCTCATATAGGGTGTGATTGTTGATGGTAGGAGAAGGAATACGGTTGATAGTATAGGCAGTAGTGAGAGCGGCTTTCCCCCAGAAGCACTCATGACAAGAAGAGGAAATTAAAAGAGCACAGACAGTATCGAAAAGATGGCGATGTTTAAGCTCAACAAGACCATTTTGTTAGGAGGTACCAAGACAAGAATAATAAGAAAGTGTGCCATTTTGAAGAAAGAATCTCAAAAAATTTGTTTATTTTTCTGTGCCATTTTGAAGAAAGAATCTCAAAAAATTTGTTTATTTTTCTTAGGCATTATCAGCATGAAAAACTTTGATAGTGAAAGAAAACTGAGTTTTGACCATCTGTAAGAAATCATAGTATATTTATGATAACTCAGAGCGAGACTTCATAAGAAATAACCACGTAAAATGAGTGAAATCATCTACAAAAATGACAAAGTATTTAGATCCCCCCATAGTGGTATTAGGTGATGGTTCCCAAACATTAGAGTGTATGAGATCAAAAGGTGCATGAGACATAGAAGTATTGGATGAAAATGGTAAAGCAGATTGTTTTGTTAGTTAAAAAGATAGACAATCTACTTTATCATTTGGAACAGGACCTAACTGACCGCTAGAAACTAGAGATCGTAAACGACGAAAAGAAACATGACCTAACCGAGAATGCCATAAGACAAAAGGAGAGCTAGGAGTAGTAGAAGCAGCAGTTTGGATAGTGGAAGGACTGGAGGAGGAAATGCGAAGGTGGATGAGCTCATACAGACGTTCATGTCTATGATCGATCCCAAGAGTCGGTCTCGTCTTCGGATCCTGCACAACACAACTAGTTGGAGAAAAGAGAACAATGAGGCCAAGATCACAGAGTTGACCAATTGAAACAAGATTAAATGTAAGATTAGGGATCAGATAAGTGTGGGGTAGAGAAACAGTAGAGGTGGAAATATGATCTATATGATTAACATGCATTTGAGAGCTACTAGTAGTGTGAATAACAAGTAACGTAGAAGAAGATGTAGTAAAGGAGAAAAGTATAGGGTCAGAGGTCATATGGTTGCAACAAGTGGAATCAAAATACCAAGAAGAGGTACCTAGAGTAACTGAGAGGACAGTAGATGGTGTACTAGAGGTTGAAATAACCTTTTTGACAATAACTTCAATGTCTTGAAGAGTGTAGGGTGGTGACGGGGCAACAACGGATGATGAACCAAAGGCAACTGTAGTAGATGCAAAATGTGTTGAAGACTGATCTTAGCTGTATATTGTGGAGGGTCCAGAATAGCGACCGTGTTGAGGATAATTGTCTGAACGAGCCATGAGGTGGTTAAATAATGAATCACAAAGGAGAACTAGTGATGGCGGAGTAGAACTGGATAAAACAGAGTGTACTAGTGAATCCGGAACATCGAAAACCAGGCCAAAATGATCAGAAAATGTGCAAAAATAGGCGAAACAAGCCAAAAATTGAATTTTGGCCAAATAGGGTGTAGGGCTGATGTCAACAGGAGGGAAGCTAATGTTAGCAGAATCACAGCTCACGTTATCATGGCTGAGGCGCGGCACAGTGTAGCAAAGAAGGTGCGATGCACGTTAGCAGCTGACGGGAGCAGCTTAGGGCTGACGTCAACGCAGAGAGGCTAACGTCAGCAACATAAGAGGCGCGCGTATAGGCGCGTAAGAGAGTGGCGCCGGAAAGGTATGACACGCAGAGCTTCAGGTGGCGCGCAATGGTGCGTGTGGGCTCGGTTAAGGATGAATTTTGTGGCAATTGAATCTGGAGAAAATTCCAAGCAAAATGGTGCTATAGGTGTTAGAAACGAATGATCGGGGTGGCCTGATAATGACAAATCAGTACCTAAAAAATCAAACAGTGTAAAAAAAAGAAACAAGAACACCATAAACTGTGATAAGAATTCGAGTGATGAACAGAAACTATGATATGATATGATATGATATTAAAGAGAGATGAATGAAGAGAAAAGAGAAAACTCTTGTATTCAATTTAATAATCAATGAATAGTACCAACTCCTTTATATAGGAGAGAAGATAAGTATATATAGAGAATATACTATACTATACAGATAAAGCATATGCACATAGAGAATATGCTATAGAATATATTGTACTACACAGATAAGGCATATCTATACAAAGAATATGCTATAGAATATACTATAGTTAACATTTATAATATATTTTGGGAAAATTATAGTCATCTATTTTGATTTTTTTTTTTAGGAAAAAATAAAATAATGGTTGGTTGGTGTCCTTCCCAAGAGATTATTTCGTGGTCCAGAGCACCACGTAACCATCTCTCTTATCAATCACAATTCATCTTGTTTCTTGTTGTTCGTTAATCATCAAATACAAAATCGTGAGTCATGCATTCTCCTCCAATCACATCACACATGGGGCACTACGTGATTGTGTCCTAAAACTAGCAAATAACTTATCGTACTCTCCACATAATTGTTCAAGATTCAATATTTGCGGCCAAATCGTGATAAAGTAATTCCTTGTAAATTTCCTAATTCCAATATAGTTGGTTTAGCCTGCCTTTGATGATGTTGATAAGGAAATTAATCGAGATGTGTGTATACTTGCATGGACACTTCTAATTGTTGAACTAAAAAAAAAATACATTTCGCATTACACTTTTAACATAATTAAAGTGGTTTCTTTTGAAATTTTAATTCACAAAAAGTTAGGTCTTTTTTTAGTATTTCATTACTAATAGTCATGTTGTTTTTACTAAAATGTATATTTATTTTTATTTATTTGAATTTCCACCTTTCGTCTTCATTAAATTCAATTATTTTAGCGTTACTAAGAAAAGAGTCAATGTAATTATGTTAGAAATAGAAACTTATTATATATTTTGGGTAAATCACAAATAGATTTGTTTAAAATACAAATTATCTCTTGTGATTTGGAAAATAATAAGTATCCCCACTACAAAAAAATTGATTTTTTGCGACGGCAAAACGCCGACGCAAATACCTCAAACGCCGTCTCAAAAGGTTTTTTGCGACGGTAAGTGGCTTTTTGCGATGACAAGGGGGGTGTCGCAACAAAGGGGGTTGCAAAAGGTTTTTAGCGACGGCATAACGCCGTTATGCCGTCGCCTTTTTTTTAAGACGGCAAAATGCATTTTTTGCCACGGAAAAATACTGTCGCAAATAACAGATGAAAATCTAACTTTTTTTGAGACGGCACTATGTTGCCGTCGCAAAAAACCCTTTTCGCGATGGCAAAAAAAACCGTCGCTAAAAATGTATTTGAGACAGCACCTGAGCCGTCGCTAAAGGAGTATTGGCGACGGCAGTAACACCGTCGCTAAAGGCCTTATTTTATAATCAATTTCCTACCTTTTGCGACAGTAAAGATGCCGTCGCAAAAAACCCTGATTCACTTTACTTTTTGATACGGTGTGTGCTGCCGTCTCAAAAAAAAAAAAAATTTGTATTAAAATTATTAAAAATATAAAAATAACCTGTATTAAACGAAAAATAACTAAAAAAAAAAAAACCGATAATTACATAATAATATAAATACATACATAAACAAAAGTTGGCACACAATAAAAATTCATAATGTTGTTCCATTCATAACAATACATAAATAAAAATTCATAACAATAAAAATTATCCCACTACATAATGTCGCATGATACATACGTAATGTTGTTCACAAATTTAAATAACGTAAATCAAAATCAAAACCAAAAGTTTTCGTCTTGATTCTTACGTGGGTTACAAAAACAAAAGTTGGTCATAATCTGTAAACGCCCACATTCCATAAGAAGCAAACTGCTACTCAGGAAATATCTGAAAATAACAAAATAAAAATAATTAATGACAATATAATGGTGTTAATATTTTAATTATAGAAAAACATAAAAAATTAACTACTATATAATTACAAAGATAGTTTAGTAAATAATTTTGGCTAGACAGAAATCCAGCCCTAACTCCCAAACCGGAAACCCGATTGGAGTTCTGTCTTCTCCAACAAGTCTCTCATGCCTAGGCAGTCGTGTGTGCCGAGTTTCGTGCTAAACCGATGCCGTTTGGTGATTT